TTCTTTAGTCCATGAGGTCGCTAAGCTAATCTCCCGGGGATAAAATGTAAATTTTAGCCTTTGTTAACAAAACAAGCTTCTCGATAAAAATGTTTCACCTTATAGCCAAGTCAATGACAACCGTTAAGTACAAAATCAACTTTTACTTTTTTATTTTCTCGACTCAATAGCCCCCTATCCTGAAAAATAATAATGATAAAGGAACACAAGACATTCACACAAGAAAGCAGTTCTTCAGATGAAATTCCACGTGTTGCAACTACATATAGATAGAAGTGTACTATTAAGAATATAAAACTAAAAAACTTGCCATTCTTTCTCAATCGACCTTAACCCCATCTATTGTTGGGGTTCGCCACTTGGGTATTTTGTATGTCTACATTCTCAAATTGCCATTACCAAAGTTAGGTTTTACTTACAACAGGATGCTCTTCCTTTTTATAGACTTCTGGGCAGTTGGTTCTCTTTCTTTTCTTCGTCACGCTTTCAATACCCCCTCATCCCATTTTAGTTTCAGTTTCCGTCATCTTCCTTAGTTTCGTCAGTTTAAAAAAAGAGAGGCAGAACAAGGTTGATAATGTAAACTGATGTTATTGTTTTTGGAGGAGAAAAAATCGATTTTTTCACTAATTTAGCGGTGATAGCCATACACAGTAACCAACAGGAAGCTGACTTTTATTCTCACCTTAAGATGATTAAGGGTAAGACGTAAGTCTATATGTATTAACTCGAATATTTTTGTAATCTTTATTCTAAACTCATAATAAGCATGTATATCGTCGACCTTATAAAAATCTGATTTGGAAGGTTGGAGTTTTCGCTAGAATCATTTCCTGGAAATACATGTACCAGGAAATCGCTATACGTATGTGTACATATATATAATACGTACATGCAGCTTCTTTGTTTTTCACGTGTTATTCTCAGGCGTTAAAAATCTAAAAAGAAATAATATTTGTTTAACTTTTTAACTAGTATAGACTTGTTTTTATGTTTGGACTTTTTTATTTCTAAGAAAATTAATCAGCTTTAATGCAAGTATGTTTTCTACAACACACATGATGATGTATCCACGTTAAAATTTCTCAGAACCTCTCTTGGCAGGCTCGAAATTATCAATTTAAAAAAGACTAATTTGGATGTTTTCGTATGCATTGCAATCTCTTGTTTTGTCTACATGCGAAAGTATCAACTTGCAAGTTTTGGTATATATATGAGTTGTGTTAACAATTAAAACTATATATATATAAGTTTAATTTCCTATTTTTAAATCAGCATAATGCTTCATTGTTCTCTTCTTCATTGAAGACTGAATGAAGTTTTTAAAAAGAAACATTTCAGATCAAAGAAAAGCTATTTTTATATAAAATTTATTGGAAGTTCGTTAGTTCAGTTGCTTTAACAACCATTTCATTTTTCGATAAATTAAGCATATAAAGGTAGACTAAATTCTAGGATTTAACGTTATATTGTTTGTTTTAGAGAAAAAACAAATTGGGTTATCTGCTGTGTCCATCGCGGAGAATCGAACTCCGGATTTTAGCATTGTAAGTCTAGACTTACCGCTGTCTCATTGGGGTGACGCTGATATTGTTAGACTGCTGTTCATCTATATAAAAAGCGTAGTTAAGTTAATATATATGTTATATAAGGTTCAATGTTCTTGGAAAAGTGACGTCTGCTAGCACTAAACATTTGATACTGTAAATTTATTAGAAACTTAAAGATTAACATTATTAACACTGATAATAAGCTGAAACATTTAGTGTCAATAATGTCAAAAATCTGAGGATCACTTGTTCTTTGTATTGTTTCCTTTTCACTGCGGGAAGTCGAACCTCAGATTATAGCATTTTAAGTCAGGAAGCTTACCACTGACTCACAGGGAAACCTAAAGGTCATATAGGTTTTAATTTCATATGCATAAGTCTTTTTTCTTTCTCATCTTTTTCAATTATTCATACTTGTACAAATTATAGAGTTTTGTGTTTGAAAAGTTTTTGGTGTACAAAACTTGAAGATAGCTTTTATATGCGGAAACATCTGTTAGCTGAGTTCTTGCACAGATCTTAAAATATAACGTTGATAAACAGAAACATCGGCACATGTAGATACGTAGATCTTGAAAGTCGAGTTGTTCAAACTTGAAAATAGCGTTGATAACTGGATCAGTTGTTGGTTGAGATGTTGCAAAGGAAATTTCTGCTGAAGCTTTTCGCCAGACCAGATACCACACTTTCTTTATCCTGCTTGGGGTGCGAATTGTCACAGCTCTGTTTGTAGATAGTCCTGGCGTCCCAAGTTCACCCATATTCCTTTTTTCCAATACCACTAAATACAAGGGAGATCCCATTTATAGATCTGAACACATCTTTATGATCTGATTCTAGGAATATTTTTCATTAGAAAGAGTTGTTACATACCCCTCTCTGTGACATCACACTATCTACACAAATTCCAAACAATGTCAAAAAAGTAGTTCTTATACATGCCATTCTATCGCAAATTTATACCGGATGAGGTTGTCACGTGACATATTGATTTGCATATTCAAAATGATTTGATTCAACATACTCAGTTCTCTCTATAACATAGATGTTTATCTTTTTTTATTATTTAAGTATATCTATCATTTAGCCATTATCCAAATTGATTTTATTGAGAACTGAATTGCATACTACAGGAGTACAGTACCGTCCAAAGCACGGGTTGTCCTTCATGCAATTACTGAGTCCAGTCGTTTCAGTAGAGCACTAGTGAAGTATACGCCATTGCAAAGATTATGTCTGAAAACGTTACATTAATTAATAGCCATTTCTGAATGAAGCGACAGCTAAGAATATCACATTTTTGAATGAGAGCTTTCAACCAGACAGAATCTGGGAACGTTATCCTGTTCAAGGTGCCATTTATTAGTTCAAGAAGATTATACAATTGGATTACACGTTTTACAGGAATAAGATTAAAAAAGATTAATGAAACATAATCAACTGTTACTGGAATGTACACGTGTTAATCACATGATATCCTCTGGTGTATTAATTTCTCCTGAGAAAAATTAGGTAGGTTCTGCAAAATAACAGGAGATTTGATAAAAAATATATTATGGAGCAAATCATAATTTTATTATGTTTACTGAGTTCGAAGAATGAAAAAATACTGGACACATTGTATATCAAATTGAAGCAATCTTTATTCGATTCACTAAAACAATCAAAATGGTGTATTTATTGGAGAGCGCTCTCGGCATCCGTGAAAATAAAAGTTATTCTAACTTAATAGAACTCTTAACCGTAATTTACGGTTTCAGACTGAAAAAAGACGGTAGTATATGTATGGAAAAATTATGCTACTCTTCTCAAAATGTGTGTTCTACCCAAGTGACTGTTTATCAATCTCATCCAAATATAAGGGAAGCTACATCCTCCAAATGTCACCAGACCAGACAATGAAGAAAAGAATCATTGTATTATTTCACACAGTATGATCAATTTTATAGACATCTTTCACACAAGAAAGTACGTATGACGCTCTACGTGAACGACTGAGAATTACAGGTAACTTAGGCGAGTTTGAGTGACGTTCTATGTTAAGCTACATACACCTGCATACATACAAATATTGAATAATTTTACATCAGCAAAGGAAGAAGTAAGAAAACACGTAGTATTCATACATAACACAATCATTCCTTTCAACCAAACAGCATATTAGTAGATAAACCTGTGAATCAGGCCTTTCTGTCAGGGAATAGTCACGTATTTCATTCAGATAGTGTGTGTGTGTGTGTGTGTGTGTGCGGGTATGAAGCAGATGAGCTAACGTTTATGCTGAGTCCTAATTTCCTTAGTATATTGTAAAATGTGTTTTTACATAGTAATCTAATCAGCAAGCGTATTAAGAAGGAGCATTCATACTGATAGTAATTTAGTAAATGCAAACCCTTCTTAAATAGAACGAAACTTGTTTCGAAACTGCCATGACAGAAATGACAGTAAAATTATCTGTAGTTCCAGGAATACCGGAAACTTGTTTCAGACGAAACAAACTCCTTACTATTTACATAATCGTTTTATACAGAATAATAAATACTAAATATAGTACTATAATACGACATTTTCAGTACTTGTATTAAAAATCACGGGGTGGTGAGCGCGGTCATATTATTTTTTTTCTACCGTAGCAGTTATTTCGATTTAAACCTTTTAACCCCAGGCCAAATTAACTTGACCAAGGGTCAAAAGTAATCGGGGGTGTTCAGAATTATCATCTCTTCACCCCACTCGCGGACTATATGTATTGTGAGGGGAGAGAAAGATAGAGAAAAAAAATAATAATTATATTAAAAAAAAAATCCTGATGTTAAATATACTATAATCACAGGTGGCATTACAGCTAACCGATTCCTTATATAAATAACATTTTATATACATAAAACTATAGACAATCATGAACCAAAACCTGGAGTTTGATAATCATTACAATTGAAAACAAATGTTGTTTGTTCTACGAACATGTCTTTAGTTTCACAAAATACGTACAATACATATATACTAGAAAACGGAATCTTAGAAGTAAATAAAATGTTTACTTTTAAAATAATAAGTTATACGGTTTGTTGAACATGAAGTGTGAAGCATTCAATAAGTATTATATTGTTGTAAAGTCTGAAAATTAAAAGATATTTTGCGTGGAAATGAAAGACAAAACTTTCCCAATAGGCAAGGTCAATCGAAATCCTGAGCAGGAAATGGTATTTCTGGACGCTACTAAAAATAACTGCCATTCGACATTTATTTTTGAGCACTTCACTATTTTCTTCGCAGCGATTGGTTTATATAAGAAAAGAAGACCTAGGCTGTTAAACACACGGGAATATTCTCGCATTGCACGTTAAGTTCTTGGCTGGGCAAGTCTGTAATCAGTAGTAGACCATGACTTCTGTTTTTCAGTTGTTTCTTATTAACTGTATTTTTGTAGGAGTTTTCGTATCGTCAATGATGACATTGCGACAAGGCCACGTGGCAACAAAAGTCCGTTTCTTTCATTCTGACTCGAGCATTCCACGTCTTGCTATGATAGGTACTCTGCCTACAGTTCGAGACTTGACCTTAGCCTACTGGGTGAAGTTGTACCAGTTTGATGAATATTCAAACTCTATCTTCTCTTACGCTCATCCGAATGAAGACAACGAATTATATACATGGATTCAACTGAAGGACAAAATTCCGCATGTAGGGATTCATATTCATTCCGGAGAGGGTCATTATGTTAATATACCTTGTCTAGAGTTTGATTTAAAAAAATGACAACATGTGACGTACACGTGGTCATCACAAAGTGGGAACGTCAATGCTTACTTGAACGGTAAGCTTTGTACCAACATCACAGTCACTGTTTCCAGAGGCCAAGAAGTAAGGCCAGGAGGAATGGTCGTCTTGGGTGCTGACCAGGATTCTGTTGGAGGTGGCTTTAAAGTCAAAGAAACTTTGGAAGGAGAACTGACAGACTTGCATCTTTGGGATGAAACTTTGGATGGGGATCAGATCTCTGTTTTTTCTACATCCGCATGTAGAAGAGTAGGTGGTTTGGAGTTTCATGGAAACTTGATAGACTGGTCACGAAGTGCTTTCAGAGCCTTTGATGGAGTGTCATTCCATCCAACAACTTTGTGTCTAAGATGATCAGACAACAGATGTTATTCAGATATCTACTAATCGTAACATAGTTTTATGTTCTGTAATGATATTAAGATTTTAATAAACTTTTGAATAAACATGTTTTTCGTGGTATTTTGATTTAATATATTTAAGTATTCAAATAACTGTAAAGACTACATTTAACTTTGACGTTCTGAATTGTTGGGAAAAATTATGTTTAATTTACTTCTTTCAGAAAGTGTCTAAAGTTATAATAGAAAGTATAGTTAAAATTCACTGCTGTTACTCTTTCATTTACATAACTTTACTGCAAGAACTCTTCAGAACCCATGTCAAGAAACCATAAGACATCTATAAACAAGAATCAATTTTTAACAACAAGATGATGACAACATGTTTGTGAAAAATTAATAATTAGCAATTAGGATAACAATGGCTATAGACTTAATATACGATAATACATGTGGTTTTACTCAGTTTATTATTAACAAATCATTTAGCTTATACTAGTAGTGACATAAAATTCAGTTATTATCAATGTACTTTCGTGATATTTTTTGAAAAGAAACAACAAATAGATGATACTGGAAGATTTCTAGAACATATATATGTTTATCTGTAAGGGAAGTGAAGCATTAATATTAGATATTACACTACAAATATTGTCTAGACCGTGTTTTAAGCAACCGTGGTGTCCGACTTATACTATCAGAAGTGTTAAAGTGATTGATTTTAATATATTTTGACAACAGGTAAAACTTTCTGAAACCAATATCTGTACACTTTACAAAGATATCTATGATTTATATTAATTAAACCAGGGTGATATGTAACGAACAAAGTTCTTTTGTTTTTAACTTCTTAATGTTACGACAGCGGAAGTTTGAGTTTGGTTTGTTTTGAATTTTGCGCAAAGCCGTCCCTAATTTAGAAGTGTAAGAGAAGGCAGCTAGTCATTGGGCTACTCTTTACTAACCAATAATGGGATTGACCGTCACATTATAATGCCCCCACGACTGCGTTTGTTTGGTGGGACCGGGATTCGAACTCGCGACCCTCAGATTGCGAGTAAAGCGCCCTAACCACCTGGCCATGCTGAGACCGTATAGTTTTACCATTGGAGCATTAGATATATATGACCTTCCATATGTGAATCAAAATTACCAGTCACGTAGTTAGAGCCAGTCACTATGGGCAAACGACCAGCTTTCCATTAAGTCAAAAATGTTGTATTTAGATAGTTTTATATGGAACCTAAAGTGAGTTGGTTAGCGGGAAGACATCTTGAGCGAAGAAGATCTGTTACTCATTCACGTTGACTTAGTAAAAACTTTTCATTTCGTGTCACACATAGTGGCCAGTTTCTTTGTTTATTAACTTAAAACTCAATCTGTTTAGAAATTCAGCATCACTTTGTAATTTATCCTGCCGATCCTCCCGTTCAAAGCAGACCTGCCTAAATATCCTTTGAGGAAGTCAGCTTAACCTGAAAATAACAAAGCGATATAGCCACTCACCTGCTCTTAAAAAGTAAAGTGAGAAGGCATAGAATAACTAAGTAGATAATATAATTAATTTTTGTAATGGGAATGGAATATAGTCACATAAAAAGAAATTTGATAGAGGGCAGTGTACTTGTAAGAAAACACATTTAATCTCTTTCATTCCTATTCCCGAAGCCGCTACCTTTATCACTTGTTCTTTTTCTTACGCCATCATTGTTCTGTCGTTAGGGGGTTTAATATGGATACTAGTCCTCACTGCTCACCTATAGAAATTGGGAACTATTTCTGTAAACAATTGCCTTGTAGATTGTTAAAAATAAAGCTTTTTTTTTTTTTCTATGTGAGTTTCTCGCTAATTCACAAGAATCCTGAAATAATGCCTGCGAGCACTAACAACTTCTATGATGGAAGCCATCATGTAGTTAGGCAATTTTAAGATGTTTGTTGTTGTTTCACATGTTCGAACACCATGTACAGGATATGAACAGGAAACGATAATAGATTATTTCTGAAGCCACTCCACTAGTTTATTTTCTTTATCTTATTTCTAGAATGAAATAAAGTAAATATATTTTTTTCTAAACTATAATTGAAGATATACATATTCTAAATATATGAATACTTTATATAAGAATAAAAATATTTATTTTCGCAAGCATTTTAAAGCTATTTAATAATATAAAATAAATTCGTTCAGAGGTGTTTCATGACAAAATACTACAAAAATAAAACCACAAAATATAGCTTGATAAAATATTATTTATTTTAGACTTTGACTACTACAAAAATTATAACATACACAAAAAATAGTATGATAAGATATCATTAATTTCATAACTTGACCAAATTTTATAAAATATTTTCTTTTTGTAGCAAGTAAGCCCTTGATGATGAAAATATATAAAATCTTGAATCTTAGGAACGGTCCTATGATGAGGAGCTCATATAGATTACATTTTGTATTCAGGCCCGGGTTAACCAATCTGCACTGAGTATACTTGCACCGAGGACCGTGATTTGAAAAGTTAGATCTATACGTCATATGTGAATAGTAATTTTAGGCTGATTTATTCTGTATTTTACAGTCTTACTTAGGCATGGGGAGTGGCTTTATATGTAAAATGTGAGTTACATCCTGTTGAAGTTGAGGATATCAAAGGCAATAGCAAAGATATTTGAATCCATTTGGGTTTCTTTTAGGGGATATAAATGGAAAAGGCTTTTAGTGGGAACTTGTAAGATTACAGTGAGATTAAGATTTCAGTTATTAATTAGGTCGTAATTGTAAATTATGTTAATTTCAGACATATAGATTGGGAAATGTTGGAGTCAAACCATGACGGAGAAAGGTTTTTTGGAAACTGTTCAATATGGTTTTATTCAACAACTGGTCCAGGAATCTACTGGAAACAATGCTATCTTAGATTTGTTGTTAGCTTCTAATATAAAAATGGTTGAAAAGGTGAAAATTGGGGAGCATCTGGGTGCAAGTGATCATTGCTCTATTAGGTTCGATGTTTATGGAGATAAGGAATAATTATATTTTGGCTAAAAATTTTGAAGGGATGAGACAAAAATTATCTATTGTAAATTCGGCAGCTAAGTTATTTGGACACACTGATCAAATGTGGAAATTTTTAAAATAAATTTAAAAAAATTCTAGATAAACATATTCCTTATAGAAAGGAAAGAGTTACTGCAAGTAAAACACCAGGTTGGTTCACAAAGGGTATAAGGGATCAAATTAAAGAAAAGCATCAATAGTTTAAGAAGTTTAAATTCCTTGGTTTGACGAGAGGTTTAGAAGATTACAGAAGATTAAGAGAGTTGATCAAAAAGTATATTAGCACATCAAAAAGGATATATGAAAAAAGGTTAGCTGAAAATGTAAAAATTAATTATAAGGATTTCTTTAGATACATTAAGAGTAAACAAAATGTTAGGATAGGAGTAGGACGTTTGAGCGATGATAAAGGAAGGCTTGTATCTGATGATTATGAGATGGCTGAATTGTTAAATTCTGCTTTTTCTTCAGTTTTTACTAATGAAGATTTAAACAATATTTCTCATATTAACAGTTGATAGATGGAAACAAGATGATCACATTAATTCTGAGCTGGTTAAGAATAAATTGGGAAGTTTAATGAACAATAAGGCTCCTGGGCCAGATGATATTTCCCCAAGGGTTTTGAAGGAGG